AAGTCTTTGTCACAAGTCCCAAATAATCCCTCATTGTAATGTCTGAAGTCCAAAAGTCGAGTCTGGATCCGATGTCACCAAGCTCTGTCTCTCTTGCCGGACAAATTCGCACTTGTCGCGGTTAGCCTTGTACTTGGCGCAGCGGAGCGTCTCCAACACTCGTCGAAGATGCCCAAGATGATCCTCCAATGACCGGCTATAGACGGGAATATTGTCCAAGTAGACCAGCACGAACCGGTCCAACATTGCACGAAACTCATTGGTCATTGCTGCTTGAAAGGTCGCCGGAGCGTTGGTGAGGCCAAAAGGCATGACCACCCACTCAAAATGCCCGTACCGCGTCTTGATCGCGGACTTGTAGCAATCGTTCGGCCGGATCGAGATTTGATGATATCCTGATTTCAAATCCAACTTAGAAAAATACTTTGCGCCGCCCAATCGCTCAAGAACATCGTCGATGCGAGGAAGAGGCCCCGCATTCTTGACCGTTTGCACGTTGAGCTTGCGGTAGTCGATACACAATCGTAGATCCTTGTTCTTCTTCCGGACGAAGATCTGTACCACCGCCAATACCTCGAGTTTGACGGGCAGGAGATCTTCTGCGACTTGATCAAGACAGATCCGATTCTATGGTTCCGCATGTTCGAGCTCACGCTGCAGCTCCACAACGTCAAAGAACACAAGCACCACGCATACTTGTACTCTCGCTCAGGGGGCGCGTGCCAGGCTTGGTTGGACAATCTCTTGTCCAAGTACGGAGCGGTAGCTGCCGACTTGCACACCAAGATCAGTTGGGATGATCTGAAGACGGCGTGGCACAAGCGGTTCCTGGTTGAGCCTCCGGAGATCAAAGCTATGGACAAGCTCATGGTCTTCGAACAAGGCACGCTGCCGAGTACCGACTGGATCGCCGAGCACCAACGCTTGACGTCAGTCCCAGACATGCAGATGGGCTTCAAAGCCATCCGCCATTACTTCATCTCAAGATTATGTCCGACATTAACCAATGCCCTGACTCACGTCGAGGACACCTTGATGAGGACGGCGAAACTTTTTGACAAGGCCGCGCAGGTCATCATTACGAACAAGGAGGCAAAAAATCTGTGTTCATCTGCGGCAGGCCCGAGTACTGACCAGCATTGGCCAAGAGTGGTCGTGGTCGCAGCGGCAACGCCGTTGGACCAAACCAGCGAGGCTATGTCTGCCAGTGAAGAGGACTGACTTGCAGCCGCCCGGGAAGGTGGCCACCCCAGTAGAGGCCGAGGACGCGGCAAGCCAAATACAAACACCGCATCTAGCCCCGGGCCYGGCGCARCAGCTCCAGCCCCTTGGTCCCAATACGGCATCTCCGAGCAAGCCTTCAAGGCGCGCACGAGATTCCACTATTGCCTATGGTGCAACAGTGATCTGCATCAGACACCGGTCTGCCCATTGAAAGGCAAGGGCAAACAGGGAAACTGAGCAACGCCGAGAGTGACTCGACAACACTCTCGACGCCTCCGATACCGGTTTCTTCGCGAGTAACGGGCCTTCATTCTGAGGCGCACGCGGAAGTCGATAGTCCTCCTCTTTTACTTTCTTTTGAGGACTATGCTGCCCGGCTCGTTCCTACGCTGGGTACTCAAGCTCAAGGACAAGAAGTGTGTGCGGTCTCTTCTCCGTCCGGCAACGGCGACATATCGTCTTCAAGTGGTTCTTCACGGGATTCGGCGCGCGAGTTCAACATAGAGGTATTGGACCCGCTCACGTCCGAGGACTTTGCATGGCTTCCTCTCCCGACCACAGGCCGCTTGCTGGGACCGCAATGCGCAGCACTATGCGCTCATCTCCACACTTATCCTTCTATGCACCACTAACTTCGCCGACGGATGACGAAGTCGCGGTGAAGACATCCTTGCGTATACTACCGAGGTGGCCCGCGAGTTTCGCACGCAGCGGTACGATGACAACAACGCACCGCTCATGTATGTCCACATTCAAGTTGGGCAAGCGTCCTGCAGCGCTTTGCTGGATAGCGGCGCGTCTCATAATTTCATGAGCCAATCCTTTATGCAAAAGGCTGGCCTTGGCTCACAAGTTCGGAGGAAGGCAAACCCGTCGGCGATCAAGTTGGCGGATGGGAAACCGCAACAACTTCTCGACCGTTACATCGAGGCCGTACCGGTCTACTTTGCACCTCATGCATGTGAACCGGTGACATTCGATATTCTTGATACGGACTTCTACATCATTCTGGGAATGCCTTGGCTTGCAAGTGCGGATCACACGGTCAACTTCCACCGGCGGACTTTTAGCGTTCGCGACGCCTTCGGCCCAGAAGTGGCGTGTACTATTCCTCTACCGCACCCTTCGATTCGGTGCCAAGTGGTGACGGCCAAATCATTCCGGGCGACTTGCGCTTACGAGCAGCCCGAGGAAATCGGCCTATGTTTCCTACGGACCGTCGCGGTAGCTGACGCTTCACCCACGGACTTGTCTTCGGACCCCCGGGTGGTGCGGTTGCTGGACGAGTTCGCCGACTTCTTTGAGTCACCTACCTACCGGTGTGGTGCCGGATCAGCCGATCTCTCACGAGATCATTCTTGAGGCCGGTGTCGTGCCGCCGAAAGGTTGCATCTATCGGATGAGCGAGGAGGAGCTTGAGGTCCTCCGCGCACAACTCGACGATTTGTTGGCCAAGGGATGGATCCGCCCTAGCAGCTCCCCATATGGAGCACCGCTGCTGCAACTGTTGCATCGCGGTCTGCTGAAACTGTGCGCCGTCCTGGAGGGAGCCGACGTGCATCTCCAATGCTTCGAGGCGATTGGAGGTATTGGAAGAGCTTGCATCGGGTGCGACGACAGGTCGCCGCTCCAGCTGCTGCAGGCGGCTTTGTAGTTTAGCTAGCGAGCCGTTGAGGCTGTGGATATCCTCCTGCTGGGTAATGCATGTAGCCAGGAGGTCTGTGAGATGCGAGAGGAGGAGAGCGATCTTGTTTTCGCAATCCTCCAACTTGCCATTGTCAGCCTCGGTCCGCCATTCCGCTGCCATTGTGAGCAAGGCCCGCTCTCCACTAAATATCTTCTCACAACTTTGGTTCCTTTCTTCATCGGCAGCCCTTGCTGCTGCCTCGTCATGCTGGCGCTGTTGTTCAAGTGCCAGCAGACGTGCCTGCTCCGCATCCTCTGCCTTCTTCTTCGCTGCTACAGCTGCGTCATCTGCCCGTTTCTTTGTCTCGGTACTCCAAGCCAGCATCCGGGCCTGATAGGCCTCGTCTGCTTCACCGGGCCTCTGGTCCATGACGGCTGTCTGTGACCGCAACAGCATGTACCAGGCCGATAGATGGGGAGGGTGGGTGGGAAGAATCGCCCAGATAAAGAGCCACTAATCAAAAAAGAAAAGTTTGAACTTCGCAAAAAAAAAAAAAAAAAAAAAAAAATTGAAATAATAATATCCCAAGTTTTGCAAGTTCAGTAGGTCTCCCAACCTCTCTTGAAGTGCGAAATGATCAAAAAGAGAAAAAATTTCGACTTCAGACTGCAAATGATTTATAGAACTGACTAACAGAATTCTAGAACTGCGAAAAAAAATTCTGAAAAGAAACGACAAATATTCGGATTTTCTCAGATGAGAATATTCGCAGTTTGGAAAATAATATCGCGAAACAGAAGATATTCCGAATTTCTAAGTAACGGGAAATGCAACAGGAAATCAAAATTTTAAATTTTGAAATTTCAGAAGAAAAACGAAAATGGAAATTTCAGATGTTGTGATATTTACGATTTTCTACAACAGAAATAACGAGAAAACAAAATCCAAGGAAAGAAAAAAAGTTTCGATTTCCGGTAGTAAGGCCAAAATCGTGATTTTGGGGTCCAACTACTGTGCTCTAATCAATTAATAAAGACTAATCAGCTCTTAAGTCCCCGCACACGTGTCAGATCAGGTTGTCCTGATTCACGTGCGGTGCACCGATACCAACTGTTACATGCTCAGACGAGCGATGTACATCATAACCAAGGATCCGCAATGTGATAAAAAGGACAGACTGGACAATGCAGTGCAAGTAGAATCTCAACAAGCAATGTGCATTCTCATACATACAAAATGGTGCTGAATAGCGCAGTGGAAGATTTAGATACAAGTCCTGACCTGACCGGGACTGACCTCATTCACGTAGCAAAAGATAGTGAAGCAGAATGCTAGAATGCTGATGACTAGCCCAATCAATGTTTGAATGCAGACCAAACATACATCGTATCCATCACCAA